CTTCGATTTGACTCCACAGCAGCAGTGGATTATGAACTAACGGCATCCGTCCGTGTAGTCGTCAGCCTTTTCGTCTTTCCTCTTCTCTTTATGTGATCCGAACTACAGCAAGTGCAATTGAAGCTTCACTCGCGGCCTTTCGTCGCTGCCTGGATCGTTTTTATCATCGTGTTTCCGGTTGTGCGCCGGATTGATTTTATTAACTGTATACTGCATTATTGTTAAGCTGCTGTTATGTTTTTAATGCTAATTATATGCGTCTTTTTCCTGTTACATTTCGGTTTTCGTAAATAACGTTATTGGTGGTGCGACAATAGAAATTAGTTATCACGCTGTTTCCTTGCTTTCAGGCCATCTCTTCACCGCATGTTCGATATGATGAAGGAATATTCACTCGTTCAGTATGGGTCTTTGGTGCAAACCAAGCTGGTGGTTTTGTTAAACGCGTATTCCCTTACTACTTTTCCTCTGATGTTTAATAAAACCTGCTGTAAAATTTGTTCATATTGGTGTAAACGACGGACTTCTTCCGGAAGCATTTTGCCTGTACTTATGATTAGTTGTTCTGTTGTGAATATTCACAGTACATTTCTCAAGATATACGTATATATCGTGTTATGATGTGGTCACGAAGCGAGGTTCCAAAATTCTTGTTCATAGTTCTGAGGGCAAATAGCTGATGCTCTTCTTTCGTGAGTTACCACTTGTCATCCGTAGAACACTTCGCAGTACAGACAAATTAACGAGGTGAGCGCGAGCTGCTATGCTTATGTTACTAAAGATGACGTCATTGGTAAAATGAACAGCTCGCAAACCGACTCCCTTAAGCACGATTATGCCTCATTGTGACGTATAAATCTTTGCGTGGGCTATTCCTTACCGCTACGTTTACATTCGTAAATTATTCAAATGTGTCATCGTTATACAATTTAACTCTCTAACGAAAGCGCCATGCCGATGATCTTATATACCGTTGTTGGGAATGTTTCATTCTCGAAGCATCGTACATCAACGGTATTCATACAGCAAAAAGAAATATATATGAAACAAGAATCTTTAATGAAAATATGGGTTTGCTGTATATCATTAATAAGCGCTATTTTTGCGTCTGAGTATATCAAATGACGAATTACTCGTAAAAGGGCTGATGTTGCGGCGTCTTGCACTTAATTGCCTGTATAGGCATTTTGGCATTGAAATGTGTTTATGTTTACAGATGGTTAACATTAATTACTTTAATGTGAAAGCACTGTGATGTAGTTAAGAGTAGATTCTTATTAAATTGACAAACTACTGAAGTTCTAGAAATGAAGAATAGAAAGTTGCTGAATGTCGGTCTTTCTTCGCTCTCATGACTGGGCCAATCTGTCTTAACTTCTTTTCATAAATTTGATGGTACGGTGCTGATCTTCATTTCTATGTCATCAGCCACGTGTGCCTTATATTTTTGAAAGGCAGAGTATACAGCTATGTTGCAGGCATATCGTGAGGACGCTTGTTTTCTTCTCACAGAGTGATACTCATTTATCAACCTTGGCAAGAAGAAGGGAGAGTGACCCAACCGGGGCTAGACATCAGGATCTGTCGACTCCTATTGACTGAGCTATCCCGTCTGAAGTAATTTGTGCTAAATTCATTGCTCAAGGGAATTAGTGAATGAGGCAAAAATTGCCATTAAGCGGAATCGAACTCGGTGTCTTTAGAGTTCGAAGCAGACAGTTTTGTAGCCAACATGCCACGAAATTTGTTCGTTCGAAAACTAGGTCGAGAAATGCAGGTTGTCATTACGCAAGTGTTTCATGCCTATTTTCTTTTCCTGTAAGTTCTTTCTTCGATTTGAGGTGATGTCTGATTTTAGAATGCTTGCCAAAAGTTGAACCTTAAAACAGTTTGGTGATCACCTGTTCTTTAAGTGACAGAGTTTCATCCACTCAAAGTCTTTTTATATTTAATTTACTCTTTTTTACTGCATTTTCAAGTCACATTCGTAAGAACCACTTTCACATTTTAGAAATAAACAGCTTTATGCATTATTTGGTTTATTTTAGCTGTTATTCATCCATATCGCACTTTTTCCTGACTATCACCTATCTGCGCTCTCGTCTCTTTTCACTGACGTCCAGCGGACGCAGTCTGCTTTGGTTCTTACAGTGGAGCCAAACGAAATTCTTGTTATCGACCAGTCTTTGCTTCGGTTTGTTGTTTCAAGAAAGACATATGGTTCAGTGCTAGTGCCAGTTCGAACTTCAGGACAGCTCAGTCTGTAGAGCGTCGAATTGAGAAGCACGAGGGCCAGGGTTCCAGCCGCAATGTGGTCACTTGCCTTTCTTTCCTCTGAGGTGCGGATATGACTAACACTCTGTGAGAAGGAAACAGAGGACTAAATGCTGTGCTTGCTAGGAAGCTGCAGACTGCCTTTATGATAAAGCACTGCTGGCTGGTGACATGGAAACAAAGATCATCACCCCACCATTAACTTCAAAAAAAGGCGATAGAATTGTCTTAGTTATGTAAGGAAGACCTGCATTTCCACGGTTACAAACTACTTTTTCTTTCTTTCGAACAAGTACAAAGTCGTTGAGTTTCTTTCACGAGCTTTGGGATAGTCTCCCATGACATCGCGTTATGACCATAAACATATGTTAAGATGTTACGTTTGCGATTAACAGTCTTTCACATTCATTGTTTGATGTAAACATAAGCACAGCTTATCGAAACAGGGTACAGAATTGGTCTAACAAGTGACAGGCTATTGACCGACATTTTGACTCGCACCACATGGACATTCAAAGTAAACATGGTGGTGGTTTTCGGTTGGTGTTGAGGCGATCTACAACAGATGGATAGTTTTGAGCCTTCAGGCGAGTTTACACTCACTGTTGCTGCTTCCAATGAATCATGTTTATGTTATATTTTCTTTTAAGTATCAAAACAAAAACAAAATACAGAATCTTCCCATTTTCCTACATCAGTTGTTGGATTTGGATCAGCTTGATTGTGGCTTCTTATGCTACGATCATGATAGACTCTGTCTCTAGTCTCTCAGTTTTAAATTCTGTAAACCAGATTTCACGGCTTATCGCACCCTTTGTTATACTCGTCTCAGTGGATTCAAGAAGTATTTTTAGAGCATAATTTAAATTTTTAAAAAACAAAATTTGATGCGACAAGAAACGGCGTAAAGTATGATTATCGGTTTTTGAGCTTGAGCCACAGCACCAAATAGCTAATGATACGGAATCCAACACAGAAACCTAGGAGCACTGTCGAGTCGATCCAGTATTCCCCATCGTCGATGTCCATCGCTTCCAGAAAGAGTCTGGGGTCTCTGCACGAAAAACTGTTTATTTACCAGTAAACGTGCCGGAATACTTATCGTACCTATAAACACAGAGGGTAAAATTTACTTTTTCGCACTCAAGTTCGGAGCGATTGAAACCGTAGACACTGTGCAAACAGCCTTCGAAGGAGTAGCGCACGTACGAGGCGTACGAACACCATTTCAGATACCACGGAATGGTACTAAAGCTGACGAAAAATCCACTAAAGAGCAGAATCGGTATGGCAGTTACCGGACCAAGAAAAACGGCAACCTAAAACGTAAACTGAAATGGAAATTTAATTTGGGAAGTTGAAAATTAGTTTAAAACAACATTAATAAAATTCTTAATGTTTTACGTTTATAACATCTGATAAAAAGTAATTTAACTCTCTCCGCTCACTTCTCCGGATCTACATGAGTAATGTAATTCCAGTAATCCAGAGAGCCGTTTCACCAGACCAAAGCTCCGTGGTATTGTAGGATAGATACCGCCACTTTTTTTGATACCCATAATACGGGGCTATACTTTTGTTTTATATATCTACGGAAGAAAGTATATCTGTTGTTGTTCGAACATGCGTCTGTTCGGCCTAATGAGTGGCTCTGTTTTGCGCCATTGGACTGAACGTGTTACAATTAAAACACTTATTAGCAGTATGCTAGTAAACTAATGATAAGCAGTTTAGAAAAGATGTTTGCGGCTGTTGCAACAAGGAAAATATGGTAGAGTCACATGATATTTATTACAGTGTTTAAACTCAGTTTCGAATCTGTGAATCCAGCAACCGTTCAACTGTGTCTGCGGCACATTTCAAGTTTCTTCAACTGTTTTTTCTTGTTCTTATAAATTTATTATCTTTAATTTTAATGACCAGGTATTTTCCTTAAATTTATTCTATATTTGCACTTTTTTAACTACTGGTACTCGATGACATGCAGCCATTGTTTCATATAATCACTTGTAACGTTAACAGAATATTTCCAGTTTTTTGTAT